TAGGAAACCATGCTTTTGACAAAATCTCTGATATGAAAAACTGTTACTTATCTTTTCATTCCTTTCATCTCTCAACCGTATCAAATGGATTTTTAAAAGTTTTTAAATCCCACCTTTATTGTTTTTATAAATAATTTAAGGTGGCGAAGATATCTAATATCCTTCGTCCTATTTTCCCCAAAACAAGCCTGTGAGATGAGTTAGGCTGAGAGAGAGTGACTGGATCAGAGTCATCCAACCACTTTTCCTTTGAAGGTTAGCATGTTTGGGCTACAAAACTCTGGGTGACCACTAGATGGCAAAAAAAGACATACAGTACTCCAGATGTACTGGATGTTTGCAGCCCAGATCTGGTAGCCCTAACGTGTCTTTTTCCCAGCTCATTGCGACAGAGACTGAATCTTTTTGTTTTCTCAACAGATAATAGCAATAGCAATTAGACTTATATACCACTTCACAGTGCTTTACAGCCCTCTCTAAGCTGCTTACAGAGTCAGCATATTGCCCCCAACAATCTGGGTCCTCATTTTACTGGCGGAATGGGAAGCTAAGTAAACCTTGAGCTGTTCAGAATCAAACTGCTGGAGCGAGCAGTAAGTTAACCTGCAGTTCTGCATTCCAACCACTGAGCCACCAGGCTCTCTATAACAGTGGTTCTCAACCTTTTTAATGCCGCGACCCCAACCGGTCGTAAGTCGAGGACTAAACCGGACTAAACCGGTCGTAAGTCGACTAAACCAGTCGTAAGTCGAGGACCAAACTGGTCGTAAGTCGAGGACTAGCCTTTTCCTGGACTGGGAATTCCTGTGCTCAGTCACTCAAACCCTGGTCATCTCATGCTTGGATTACTAGAGTGCATTCTACATGGGGTTACCCTTGAAGAGTATCCAGAAGCTTCAGCTGCTGCAGACTTTTAGGGTAGCCCATGTTACACTGCTGTTGTAAGTGATGACCAGGCTGAGCCCGAGGCTGAGGTCAAATGCATCATCAGTTTGGTCTCTACGCAACTGTAAGAGACCTACGTCCAGACCCCTGTGCTTCGGGGTCCAACTCAAGGTGTTGACTATCACCTTTAAGGCTCTGCATGGCATGTGTCTATGTCAGTGGTTCTCAACCTGTGGGTCGAGACCCCATTTGGGGTCGATCGACCATTTCACAGGGGTCGCCAAGCAAGGCTGTCCGCCATTTTTTTTGTCCGCCATTTTTCCCCCTTTTCCGGTGGGTGCCTTACCTCCCTTGGGCTGGGCCAGCTGGTGGTCGGCCTGCTCTGTCTCTGCCACTTGCCAGCTACGCCTCAGCCGGTGCAGGGGGCGGAACCACGCATGCGCGGCGCTCCCGGGCAGGGAAAGTCCTCGACTTACGACCGGTTGGGTAGTCCTTGACTTACGACCGGTTTAGTCCTCGACTTACGACCGGTTTAGTCCTCGACTTACGACTGGTTGGGGTCGCGGCATTAAAAAGGTTGAGAACCACTGGTGTATGTTATCTGAGAAACCAAGTCACCTCAATGGGATTAGCCTGCCCCACCCATGCTGGGAGAAGGGACATGCTGCAGATGCCATCAGCCAAGGAATTTCTGCCAGAAAGAAGCTTTTCTGTTGTGGCAGAACATCCCTGGAACAATTTGTCCCCAGAGATCAGATCTGCTCCCACCCACTTGGCCTTCCAAAAAGCCTTGAAGACATGGCTATGACAACTAGCCTGGATCCCTTATGGGGGTATGGCACATTGGAGGTGGCTAATAGAGTAGAGAATAGCCTGCCTCCTCCCCGTGCACACGTTGCTCTCTTTTTTCCTCTCCATCCTGCTTAGCTTTATTTTAATTCAACTTCTAAATTTAAGATCTTTATTGTTTTAATATTTTATACTGCATTTTATTCAATGTTTGTAAGTCACTATGGTTCCCTTTGGCAAGATGGGCAGCGTACAAGTTTGATAAACAAATATAAGCAAAAAAATGCTAGGTGCTTTCAGATAAGGCAAGGAAGTAACAGGCAGTAGGGAGAAAGCAGAGCTGCTTAACTCATTCTTTGCATCAGTCTTCACACAAAAAGAAATTATAGCTCAACATATCAAAAAACTACTGCAAAAGACAAACTAGAAACAAAAATTAAAATAAGCAAGAAAATGGTTGTTGTCTATCCCACCTTTTTCTAGCTTACTAAGCAGCAGGTTGTGGTCTACTTTATCTATTTGACACCTATTTGACCTTGATAAATATAAATCACTGTGACCCAACAGATTACATCCCAAAGTTCTGATGGAGCTGGCAAATGTTATCTCAGAACCATTGCACCATATCTTTCAAAAATTCTGGAGCACCAGGGAAGTACCTGATGATTGGAAAAAGGCTGATGTGGTTCCCATCTTCAAGAAAGGAAAAAAAAAAACTACAGCCAGAAAACTACAGCCCAATCAGTCTAACATCAATACCTGGGAAGATCCTGGAAAAAATAATAAAAAACAGATCTGCAAACAACTAGAAGCAAACAAAATTATAATTAATAGCCAGCACAGGTTTGTCAAAAACAGATCATGCCAAACCAATCTCATTTCATTCTTTGATAAAGTGACTAAATTAGTGGACCAGCAAAACGCTGTGGACATAGTATACTTAGATTTCAGTAAGGCATTTGAAAAAGTAGACCACAACCTGCTGCTTAGTAAGCTAGAAAAAGGTGGGATAGACAACAACACCATCAGATGGATCTCAACAAGCAGTCCTCAATGGCAGCACATCCATATGGAGAGAAGCAGTGGGGTACCACAAGGTTCCGTCTTAGGCCCAGTACTTTTCAATATCTTCATTAATGACTTAGATGAAGAAATAGAAGGGGAGCTCATCAAATTTGCAGATGACACTAAACTGGCAGGAATAGCCAACACCCTAGAAGACAAGCTCAGGATCCAAAAAGTTCTTGACAAACTTGAACAATGGGCCCTATCCAACAAAATGAGTTTTAATGTGGAGAAAAGCAAAGTTTTACATTGAGGCAGGAAAAATTAAATGTTAAAGTACAGATTAGGCGAGACCTGGCTCAAAAACAGCAACTGTGAGAAGGACCTTGGAGTCCTAGTGGACGATCTCTTGACTATGAGCCAGCAGTGTGCAGCAGCAGCCAAAAAAAGCTAATACAATCCTGGGTTGTATAAACAGAGGCATAGAATCAAGATCATGCAAAGTATTAGTACCGCTTTATAAAACCCTAGTAAGACCACACCTGGAATACTGCAACCAATTTTGGTCACCATATTACAAAAAAGTTGTTCAGACTTTGGAAAAAGTTCAGAAAAGAGCAACTAAAATGATCAAAGGCCTGAAGACTAAAACATATGAAGAACGGCTGCAGGACTTGGGTTTGGCTAGTCTAAAGAAAAGAAGAAACAGGGGCGACATGATAGCAGTATTTGAAGGGCTGCCACAAAGAAGAGGCCGTCAAACTATTCTCCAAAGCACCCAAAGGGCAGGACAAGAAACAATGCTTGGAAACTGTCCAAAGAGAGAAGCAACCTGGAATTAAGGAGAAACTTCCTAACAGTGAGGACAATTAACCAGTGGAACAGCTTGCCTTCAGAAATCGTAGGCGCTCCATCACTGGAGGTTTTTAAGAAGAGACTAGATAATTACTTGTCTGAAATGGTATAGGTTCTCCTGCTCGAGTAGAGGGCTGGATTAGAAGACCTCCAAGGTCCCTTCCAGCTCTATTCTATTCTAAGATACGGCTTTTATTTAATAATTGTCTTACCTCATTCAGAGAATTTTATATGGAACTTTGAATACAGCCAACTTCCACTTGCTGTTTTCCCAAGTCCTTTTATTGCTTCTGTTTTTTTCCCCCTTGCAGGGGAAAATCCATTAGGAAGGACCAAACGATATTATTGCAAAATGTCTTTTAATAATTAGCACTAGCAATCACATATGTGGAAACATCCCCGCCTGAATATTATATTTTAGAAGCTGTGGGTACCTTAGGTTGAACATTCCTGAACAAGGTCCCCATAATATTATGTCAGATAATGGCATTTTGACAGATGCAGATTTTGTTACTACTGCAATAGAAGCAATTGCTTAAAAAAAAAAGTACAGAAGTTCACTCCTTATGCATTCAGTCACATTGCTCTCCCACTTCTGTTGCTGTCAGCTCTATGCAGATAATTTTTAAAAAATGCATGACCCTCCCCATTATCAATTCCATGTTGAAGTGGTGCGGAACTATAGCAACATAACTAGCTGTGTAATACTTGCACAAGCAATAATAATAATAATAATCTCTGAATATAATTGCCGAGCAAGATTGTTCTGAAATGCCAAGCTGCTGTAAATTAGTTTATAATACCTTATCAGCACTTCCTGCGAGCTTACATTTTTTTATTTTAATCAGGATCTTAGCCTATATTTAACAGAATGCAGATTTAACACGATCCCCTTTTGTAAAAAAAAGAAAACATTACATTTATTTTGCACATTCATGCTAGCTAGAGGAGGAATCATCTGGTTGCTATTTTTGCCACGGCTCTTCGGTGTGCTGCCTCCCTAGCTTGATTTAATTCCGATCAAATCTCATTGCATTTTATCAATTTATCCTCTGCAAAAGGGACGTGGTGCTTTATTTCGGGAAGGGCAGGGAGCAGAAAGAAAAGGACTGAAACGTAAAACCGAGCAAACTTCAACCCCCACTTCCCCCCAAGGGAAAGATCAGCGAGGAACGCACCACAGGCTGAGGGGCAAGCAACCATATTTCTTGTTTATGCAGAAAACCGTTATGGCCAGCTCCCAGCTTTGCCTTCAAGGGCGGATTCTGGAGATAACGTCAGAAGGCAGATTGTTGACTCGCGGAACCGAAGCGCGACGACGCGCGGCTAATATGTTTACCAGCCCATTTGGGCTTCCCCGCCCCGGTTCTTCTCTTTTGTGCCTCTGCGGGCGGCAGAGGGAAAGTTTGCTGATTAGCTGAGCGGCTTGTCAATCAGGCGCTTGGGAAATTCCAAAATGGGCGGATCTGAGTCAAGGTTCCTCCTGGGCAAGCGGAGAGGAAGTAAAAGCGATGCCCATGAACGCAAAGCTCTGGAGGTCCCGAAGCTGTTTGGACCTCGATCCGTACAATTTTAGCAGGTAGGACTAGCTCACCTCCTCCCCTCTCCTTGCAGGAAGTCGAGCTCATTGCGTCTCTTTTAAACTGAAGAAGGAGGTGGGAAGGATGGAGTCCTGGGTGCTTTCGGTACGTGTCCCAGATGCTCTTATGTGTGGCACGGCTTTTTCTTTTTTTTAAAAAAAAATAATAATAATAATATAAGGGGTGCATGTCACATTTCCTGGTATTTTAGGGTTTGGGAATAAAGGCGAAATAGGTGAGCATGGGATAAACAAGAGTATTGCTGTAAGGGATGCATGCAGAGGCACGTCTGAATTCTCTCGTTTGGACCACTTTCTGGTGAACGATTTTTCTTAATCTCACTTCATATTGCACGTAGTAAACAATGGTGTGGTAACTGTATTGAGTTTTTGGGGGTTATCCAGAAAAAAAGGTGAACGTTCCCTTTGAGTTCCCTGCATCCATTTGAATGTAGAGTCTTTTTAAAAATATCCCTGTCCAAGTGCACAACTGAAATTCTGTTGACTTATTTATCTTGTTGTTAAAAGGTCAGATCTCCTGTATGTGGCAACTCTTTGAAGTACATGAGTGGAAAGATCACATCAGATTGTGGTGTCATGTAAATGAATTAAATTACTGACTCATTTGCTAAGCACTGTTCTTGTTTGGGAGCAACTGATGTGTCTGACATCTGGGGCCCAATTCTTTTCACATATACCTATTTGTTCAAAGTTAAAATATGTGGATTCCCAGATAAACATGCACAGGATTATATAACCTTTTTTAATGTCTTCCATAGATTACAGGTTTGGATATGTGGGAAATATTTTATCTTCTCTTTCCCAGACTGAGTTAGATCCATTTAATTAATGTTAAAATATGATTGGCTGGTTTGTGGCTGGTATGCTTAGTAGGACAAGTAAGTCCAATTGATGGTATTCATTCTATAAACGGTTGATCAGCATGTCATGGTCATGGTGAATAGCTACTAGTGAGCAGGGAATTAAAGCTAAATCTCATTAGTAAAAATAACAATCTTCAAATTGAAGGAGGGGCACAGATCTAGCCTCAGACTGGGAAACTGGAAAACAATGTAAGCAGCTACATCTTCAAATAGTTTTCTTGATAACAATATAGTAATGATTTGCTACCACAGTATTGTGGTGGGGGGAAGTGCTTCTACTTTTCAGTCTAGCCTATATTCCTGGAATTTCCTGTCATCTCCTTTTCAATCCTAATTAGGCCTTAGATTTTTTCTTTTAGGTGGTGGTGGTGGGGAGGCGCTGTAACAAATTCCCAATTATTTTTCAATTATTTTGGTTTGTCAGTTCACTTTCTCATTCTCTATTTCTCAGAATAAGGGAAAATAAGCATAATCACACATTTTTCTAAGATATAATACAGGCAGTCCTTGACTTAACAGTTCATTTAGTGACCATTCAAAGTTACAATGGCACTGAAAAAGTGACTTATGACAATTTTTCACACTTATGATCATTGCAGCATCCCCATGGTTATGTGACCAAAATTCAGATGCTTGGCAATTGTCAAGTATTTATGACAGTTGCAGTGCCCAGGATCATGTGATCACCTTTTGTGACCTTCTGACAAGCAAAGTCAATGGGGAAGGCAGATTCACTTAAAACCATGTTACTAACTGAACAACTGCAGTGATTCACTTTACAAATATGGCAAAAAAGATCATAAAATGGAGCAAAAGCCACTTAATTACTATCTTGCTTAGCAACAGAAATTTTAGGCTCAGTTGTGGTCGTAAGTGGACTACCTGTATTGTTTTGGGGGGCTTAAGAGTATTGTGTGAACTGAACCTCTTGATTTGAAAACCAAGGTTTAGCATAATGTGTGAAACCAACTAATGGTTACTAGTCAAGTAACGGAGTAGTTGAAGCTACCAAGAGTCTTGGAAAGCTTCACTTCTGAGTAACTTTCTTTTTGGAGGTATCCTTTTATTTCAGGCTACATTGAGTTGAATGAAAGTAAGAGTCAATATTTTGTCAATTATTTGATACTTGTGTTTCAAAATTCTGTCTGTTGTAAATATTTTTATTTTCACAGAACCTTATTCTCATTTAATTCATGGTTGAATTAAAAAACACACAACCTGATTTTAAAGGGAAGGCAAGGCAGTCCTTTTTTAAGGATTTTTTGATTCTATTCCTGCTTTGCTGTTGGCATCATTATACAGTAGGCAAGTTCAGCAATAGAGTTGTGATACAACCATTAAGGTGAAAGGCTCCATTAAAAAAAGAAACTGAAACCATCACCAGTGGCCTGTGTACAGAGTATGGAGATCAAAACAAAGAGGTAGATTTGGGAGAGGGTTGTTATGTGGCATATCCCCAGTTTGGTTTCTGTTACTCCATATGCAAAATAACATTGCAGTACATATAGGTCATCCTCCACATATTACCATTATGGAGACTGCCCATTACAGATGTATGTTGCGACAGTCATAAAATCAGTTGGTCATGTGACCAACCCGATTTTATGATATTTATTTTTTGCAATTGTCATAAGTGCAAACCCGGCAGTCACAACTGTGAACCTATTGTTTGTTATGGGTGTGATTGTGCAAAAAAAATGGAAGTAAATGTTGAGTTTTGGCAAAATCGTGGTTAAAATAGTCACATGACTCTGGGATGCTGCAAATGGCCATAATTGTTGTGTTGCCCAAAGGTATGGTTACGTGACCATGGTGGTGGGATGGGAGGGGGGTGACCATCAGAACTTTGAATTGGGTCATTAAGTCCCCTTTTTCAGGCAGGTTGTAACTTTGAAGAGTTGCTAGGCAACCGGTTGTAAGTTGAGGACAATCTCTATATGTATTGGCTTCTGCGTGAACTAGAAACTGCATTATGTAGAAGCCAAGGTACATGCACTTCACGTGGAGGATTTTTCTCCTGCACACATCACTGCTAAACATGCTGATATTGTTTGAGTGACGTTTGCTTGTGCACAGAGCTTTTTAAAGAATGCCTGATGGAATTACTCCTTTGTCCTAATAGAATCTCCCAGAATCCATCTGATCTGTTCATAGACTAGTTTCTTTGTTTTTGTTTTAGCTTGTTGGTGAGTCTAGCCACTGTGGTTTATTCAATAGCCTGTGGTTAAACTATGGCTTAGTATCTATATGAGCCAAGTCACCAGCTCCTTATTGTAACCTTTGGGTGAACTCCTATACTGGTTACCTGTACTGGAAGTGGTTAGGCCAGTGGTGGCGAACCTATGGCACGGGTGCCAGAGGCGGCACTCAGAACCCTCTCTGTGGGCACGCGTGCCGTTGCCCCAGTCCTAGGCCTTCAGCTGGGTTTTATAAAACCTTTTCTCTTTAAGCCTCTGCTGCCGTGTACAAAAAAAAAAAGGTTCAATCAGTCAATTTCAACTTCTCGCGGGAAAAAAAAAAATCTTGCAAAGTTGGGATTGATTGAACTTTTTAGTCCCACCCAGTCTGCTGTTACCACTGCAGCCAAGCCCACCCAATGGGCCACACCCACCCAATGGGCCACACCCACCCGGCACCCGACCATGCATAAGTGGGTTTTGGGTTGCAGTTTGGGCACTCTGCCTCTAAAAGGTTCGCCATCACTGGGTTAGGCTCTCATAGTGTTCCAGGACTCCCTCTGCAGCCTTGAGATACAGAACTTCTGCTAACCAAAGTGTAAAAAGAAAAGAAAAGTCAGGATGAAACCAAATAGTTTAGACCAGACATATCAAACTCGCGACGTCACATGACGTTGCTCGACGTATCGGGACTGTTTTGCCATTGCTGGTAATGGGGTAGGCCCGTGGGCCAGCAGTTTGACACCCCTAGTTTAGACTTTTGCCCTTACTTGTGTATCTGTGTATGTATGCATATATGTACAGGTAGTCCTTGACTTACGACCACAATCAAGCCCAAAATTTTTGTTGCTAAGCAAGACAGTTGTTAAGTGAGTTTTGCCCTGTTTTACGACCTTTTTTGCCACGGTTGTTAAGTGAATCACTGCAGTTGTTAAGTAACACAGCTGTTAGATGAATCTGGCTTCCCCATTGACTTGTCAGAAGGTCGCAAAAGGGGATCACGTGACCCTGGGACACTGCGACTGTCGTAAATATAAGTCAGTCACCAAGTGTCTGAATTTCGATCCCATGATCGAACGGTCGTAAGTGTGAAAAACAGTCATAATTCATTTTTTTGCAGTGCTGTTGTAACTTTGAGTGAGCTGCTGTAAGTCGAGGACCACCCGTATACATATTCACATATTCTGTAGGTGTGTGTATATGTATTCATGAACATTCCAGGCAATAGTATAGCATTGGTTTGAAGGTAACCATGAACAAACTTCCTAGAAGTAAGGGTACACAGACTGTTTATTATAAACTTTAGACTATTTATAATAAGGTTGGACAGCGAGAGGTGCTCTGGGCACAAGAAAAGATGTAGTTTTAAAATTGTGCTAGGTCTGTTCTCTTATTACAAAAAGGACTCACTGTGTACAAAAGCGAGTCATTCAGGATGTTGAGTTCTGATATAATCACTCCTCCCTGAGATGCACTGTCATTGGTGATGTCTGTACCAATTCAGTGCCAGCTCTGGATACATATTTTCTTTCCCAACTGGTGGTTCTTATTTGTGGCTAAATCATTTGGACTTTTACCACTATTCATTCACCTCTCTTTTCTCGGCCATTGGGATAGGAGGTAAGGCAGAAGGTCATGATACTCCCTCCCCCCTTTTGTTATTTATTTTTTTTTATTCATGGCATTCATGTTCTATGAATCATGTTCTGATGGTTTCCCCCTGAAATAGTCTGAGCTAGAATTGACCTCTGTTTCCTGGAAAAAAATCCTTGTGTTTTTATCATACCTTTGGGGACATATGCCAAAATACTATAGTAGCGTGTGTTCAGCTAGTTTATCATTCATTTATTATTCAAAATTCTAAAGCCACCTATCTCATATATGTGACTCTGAGCAGCTTAGAAACAGTTAAAACAAATATAAAAATCAGCAAATATAT